CCCCACCCCAACACATTTTTTTTTTTCTAAAGAGATCACAAGGAAGTCTTGGTTTAAAAAGAAACAGAAACATACACAGGGGGTTGGTGAATGGTGCCGACCGCGGCCATCGCAGTTGGAAGCTGTATTTTTTTTGGGGGGGGCGGGGTGAGTAGCTTCCATGGAGTTACTTTGCGCCCACTCCTAGCGGCAAGGGGTCGGGTCCGGCAGGCTGACCGTCCCCAGTAGGGGTGCGGGGCCGGGGACGCCGCGGGCCCCGCCGCCTCCCTCGCGGCGACCCCGGATGGATGCGCGCCCCCCGCCCGCCCGCGCCGGCCCCAGGAGCTCCGGATTTCGGGAGCATCCTTCCCGCGCCGGGCCCCGCCGCCGCGCGTAGCCGAGGGCAGCGCCCCTTGGAAGGGCACCACGGAGCAAGGTAAGATCCAGCCCCCGGCGATGGGCCCTGCGCATCTCCACAGCGTTATTTTGTGTTTTTGCAACAGATCTGCCAGCGCTCCTCGCTCTCTCTCTTGCTCACTCGCTCCCTCTCTCTCCTGCTGGCTGCCTGTTCTAGGAAGCCAGCGCGCGAGGGGGGGGAGGGGGGATGCACAGCACAGGGGAGAGAGATTGCGCATGTTGGTCAGTCGTGTTTTAAAGAGTACATTGCGGGGAGGCTGAGAGGGGCGCATGCAACAACAACTTTTGGAAGGGTGAGCTTGGCGACCTTCTTTATTAATGACTGCGGCAAAGCGCCCCCGGGCCGGCGAGGGGGCGCGGGCGGGCGGGGGCGCGCCGGGGCTGCAACTTGCCCCGCGGGCTCCAGCCGGGCGGAGGGACTGCGGCGGGAGACCGGTGCGGAGGGGAGGTCGCGCGGCCGGGGACGGGGGTTCGGAGGACCCAGAGCTAACTGCCCTCCTGTCGCCTCGAGTTTCATTTTGTTGATACGCAGCACGTCCGGGCGCCGAACCGGGCTGAGCCGGTGCACATGACCCCTGCGCTGGGCTCACGTGCAGCCGGCCGGGTCCCAGACACCTTCCGGGGGCCACCGCCTCCGCCCTGTCGCCCCCTCTCCGGGTTAGGTGCACGCGGGCGCTGCACGCGGGGGCAGCATGCTCAGTTCTCGAGAGGGCGCGGAGGTTCTGCACAAATTAAACAGTTTTTTGGAGGGGTGGGGGACGCCCTTTCCAGGTGAGTATGGAGGAGGCGCAGCCCGGGCGCAGGCGGTGCGGGCTGGGGTCGGGGGCAGCTCCCATCCCCAAGGCTGCGCGGGAGTCCGGCGGGGGAGAAGCGCTGAGAGAGTGGAAATGTACCGGCGGCGGCCGGAGCGGCGGGTGCGCGCCCGCGGGGCGACGGCAGGGGGCGTGGCCCTTGTTTACCTTCTCCCAATTCAGCCGGTTCGCGTCCCGCTCCGGGGATGGTTCTGCAGTCCCCGGCCCTCCGCCTCCGCCCCTGCGCCCTGGGTGGTACCGGGAAGACGTAGGCAAGTGGCGGCCCCAGCCTGGGACTTACACACCTGACCCCTAAGTGAGTGACACTGCAGCCCCCGCCCCCATCGAGCGCCGCTGCAGTCCCTCTCCCGGATCCCGGTCCGGCCCCGCCCCCGGCAGTGGCATCTTCCCGGCCTTACCTCCTTCCTCCCTCTCTTCCTCCCTCACTCCCTCCCTCCTTCCCTCCCACTCGCCTGCGCCTGCGGAGCGTCTCCCGCCCGCCTCCTCCCCGCCAGTGTGCAGACTTGTGGCTCCCTCTATCCCTGGTCCCTGAGACATCCTCTTCAGGCCAAGGGATGAGAGGCGGGTCAGCTTGGCGATCGGTAGCTGTTATGTCAGAAGATGGGGTTGTCTGCGAGACAGGCAGGAAGGCTTCACTGTAGCTTCCAGAAGCCCAGGACATCTCCACACACGCACCCTGTTCCCCACCACACACGGCTGCCTACCCCCCAAGGAGTTCGGTAGCCCTTACCCGCATCACCTAAACCCCTTCCGCCTCCCTGGGCGTCTAGTCCACCTCCCGGCGCCGCCCCGGGCCCGAACCGCCTCTTGCCCTTCCTTCGCCTGGGCTGGAGCCCCCAGCAGCCACCTCCGGCTCCTCCTCCCGGCTCCTGCGGTCGGAATCACGCCGGCGCGCCTTCAGCCTGCTGTCCCGCGGACTGCCTCCAGGGGCAGGCTGGAGGCGCGTGCCACCCCCACTCCCAATCCCCAAAGCCTCTGCCGTCCGCCGGGCACTTGACTTTTTTTTTTACCACCTTCGCCGCAAGTCTCGTGCCCAGGGCTGGTGGTGGGGGAAGGATTGTGTTTCCCTTTGCCCCGTGCCAAGGGCAGGCTGCAGTCGGCAACTCCGATCTCTGCAGATTTGCAAACCTTGCCCCTGCACTTAGCAACCTTCCCCCCCACCCTCGCCCCCATATACTGCGGGATTCTGGGACACAAAGTTTCACCCAGGGGCTGGGTTGCAGAGGGTCATCAGGAGGCGTCCTGTTTGCACTCAGCATTGCCAAAAGGGAGGGGCTAGATGGGAACGACTGGACCTGCCGCCTTGCTTTTGTTGGGAGAGGAGCCCTGAGCTTTGAACCCAGACAGGCTGTCAGGAGATCCCCTTAACGGTTCTGTTGCAAACTGAGTCCTGGACCCTTGTGGTGGTAGGGATGCCGGGCCCCTCCTCCCCAGGGTGGCATTAACTCCCTTCACTGGTAAAATTCCCAGTAGGACGTCTGGCAAAAGGGCTGGGCAGGGAACTGCCAACCGGGTTCCAAGGGTGCTGGCTTCTCCCCTACCCTGACTTCCTCTCACCTTTGGGGCCCAAGTGAACGCACCATCCCTCCTGTCCCATCTTCCTGGGGCGGGTTGGGACTCGCAGAGCCATCTAACAAGCAGAGGAGGGAAATAACAACAGAATAACTGTAAGGGGAAGGAATGAGTAATAAAGCAGACCCAGGCAGCGAGGAGGGCTTTCATGTTTAAGAGATGCTATTTGCTTTTTAGGTCACAGGCTGCAAAAACAAGCTTTGATCCGAAGTGGGCGAATAATTTATTGAGAAAGTTTGCATGGTAGAAAAAAAAGGGATGTTTGTTTGATCTGGAGCCCTCTCAGTTGTCCCAAGTGCTATTGGCTGTTGTTTAGAGTGGAAAAGCATTTGGTTCCACAGCAAATGCCTCGCAGAGGGAAGTCCTCGCAGCAGGACTTGCAGTGAATGTTGGATTTGAAACTGTTTGGCCAGGGGTCTCCCCTGCACTTTTGGAGATGAAGTGTTTAAGGATAAAGTTGTTTGGGCTCAGGATGCAGCAAATGGTTCCAGATTTCCCATCCAACATGCTTTTCCTTTCCCTGAATCGCCTGGCTAAATGGCCAGTAACACTGATCCAAGAGGCTGTCAGAAATCTCCACTTAGCTTTCATTGACAGGTGAGGTGGGACTGCTGGTTCCAGCCCCAGGTGCATCCCAGAGTCTTGAGGTTAGGCTTTTGACTGACTTCCCTGTCCTTGAGATTGGGGGCAGGGTGTTCTGGTTAACTGGTGTTCTGGTTAACAGGGAGGTAGTAGCCCTCTACCCAAGATCCAGGTCAGAGGCTTCCAGTCCAAATTCTTCACAGCTCATCCAGCAGGCTTTTGTGGGCTTCACAGTGCTCCTTTTAAGTTCTCTGAGGGGAGTACACATCAGAATTGTGAGGAGAGGGGGTACCCCTGGCTTTCCCTGATCTCCACATAGCACCCTTTCCATGTGGCTCAAAGCTTAGGAACCCAGGAGGGTTCTCAGACAACCCGTAGGACTTGGGAGTACCTCAGCCACCCTCTGAAGTTGTAGGGCATAAGCCTGGTGGGACAGGGCATACCATCTGGAGTCAGATGGCTGAGGTTTAAATGCTGGCTATGCAGCACCAGTGATGACAGTTACACTGTGCCTCAGTTTCTTCATCTATAAATAGGGTTAATAACAGTACCTGCCTTATGGTGGTTGTATAGATAAAGCAATATTGCATAAAAAAGAATAAACCCAAACGAGGCATGTGGTAAGCACTTCATTAGTATTAGACAGTTTTACTATTATTAAATGACCTGGAGAGGGCCCAGATGCAGCTTTGACCTGTGATCTCTCCCCTTTAGGCTACTAGGCTAAAGAGGCAGCACCCTTCTCTGAAGAAGGGATGAGAAGCACCCCGTAGTTGCCAGTGTGCAGTCATCTGTGGGAGCAAGCTGACTGAGCTCTGCCCACTCTGAGGTGGAGGGTAGGGTGCGAGGTGCCAAAGGACAAAGTAGACAAAGCCCCTTTCATTCTCCCAGGATCTCCTCGGCATGTCCCCAGGACTGGGTCTGGAGAGTGGGTGTGGGCAGCATCTCCGAGGGGAGCTGGGTGCACTCTGGGACACTTGGAATAGCAGTTGGGCAGTGATGGGTGTCGGAGGAGAGTTCGGGCTTCCTTGTGCTTAGAGAAGCAAGTTTGAGAATCTGTGTGTACAAAATCATTTTTGTAACGGCCGTTACTATCCCTG